AAAAATATCATTTTGACACAACACCGGTAATTCACGAAGTTACATTTCCGTTTAGATTCTATTTTATGAAATTCTCTCATTTTAGGAATATTTTGATTGGTTCGGCTGTTGCAGACCTCATTAAGTTGTTTATAAATTGACGGTAAGATATTAACGTTAACTGAATGCCAAAATGAGCGGGGAATCTGGCTTAAGTGCAAATGCATTTGGCCGTGCTTAAATAATATATTCAACTTTTTTCTCGTCTTGAAATGTCTAAATTAATGACGAACAGTCGAACTTTTTTCACCTTAACAAATGCACAGAGACATGTGGTACAGTCCAACGTTTTGAAGCCGATAACACGTTCATTCGGCCATTATCATCGCGTGGCACTTTTATTATTTATTTAGTGGTGATTTTTCGCTTGAACGCCTTTTCCCACAACATCACTTTGGACACGACAAAATATAGTTTTGGATTATTCTTTCAATTTTGAACTCTTGAAAAAGCCTCTGAATAAATAGAATTTATATTAGCAAAAGCAAATGTCGATGATTAAACAGGCTCAAATTTAAAATCATAAAATTGTACAATTGCAATGTTTTTTCTCTTGTCAAGAATCAAATTTAATTATAAACTCAACTTAGCAATCACTTGTTTATAAACTATATATTCCGGAAAGAGAAATATATTACTTTTAATCACTTAACAGACTCTGAGATATTGCCGGACATGTAATAAAAATCGCTAGGGAAATTTAAAATGTTGATAGACAAGGGTCCGTTATAAAGAATACCGTGTTCTCAACAAAGCATAATTCCATTCTCCGAAAATAATTCATCTAAAACCAAAAATGTCGAAACTAGGATCGCATCCAAAAGCTGAAACAAATAAATTTTACTTGCGTCTCAAACCTCTTTTGTCAAGATTTTTCCTCTGGCTTATGGTGCAACTACTCGAACCGGGGCACTTGGAAAAAGACTATCCAATCACAACAGTTTTTGAAAACAAAAGATTCTCAAGTTTTCTTGCAAACGGGGACCAATAACTTTCATGAATTTGAGGACTGTTACCTGATAGGTCAGGTAAGTTCAAACGGTTTTAAAGTTTTCAACGGTTGCGTAGATAAACCTTGAATTTTATTGGTCTGTTTGCGAAAAAACTTGAGTCAGGGGCACCCAACGTCACTGATTTTTGGAAAATATCTGTTCGGAAGACGATTTGAGATCTAGAATTTTCGGAACATCTGTAGTGAAATTTCTTGCTTGCCTGCCTCTCCAAGGATTTTCGAACATCTAAAAAATGGTATAATTGCCCATTTTTAACGGATTTTTACCCTAAAAAGGTCATCTAGAATTTTCGGGAGCCTTTTCTCTGGCTGAAATTTTCGAAAAGGTAAGTTTTGATCCCTATAATTTTTGGATCACTAGACTTTCAGCTAGGAAATTCGAACAGATGAAAAATTTTTAGAGGATAAAAATATGCCCATACCTACTGTTTAAATGCTAAAATACGTTTAACAATGCTATGTTTAAGTGGTTTTGAACTATATTCTCGTTGGGTGCCCCTGTTGAGTACCTTTTGTTTTCAAAAACATTGTGATTGGATAATCTCCTTCCAAGTCCGTCAAGTGCGACGCGATGGACTAGCATCCCGTCCAGGGGGGAGTAGCAATACTCCTAGGCATGCTTCATGCTACGGAAACCGGAAATAAGCTCCGGCCGTGTCGGCCTTTGGCTCGTGTGCGCCTTTACCTTTACCTTGCAGTGCAACTACTCGAACCGGGGTACTTGGAAGAAAATTATCCAGTCACAACAGTTTTTGACTAAACAAAAAAATAAACTTGAGTATCTTTTGTTTTCAAAAAACATTGTGGCGGATTGAATAATCTCCTTCCAAGTGCCTCGGTTCGAGTAGTCGCACTGTTTACTGCCGAATATTAGTTTGTTAAGTTGCTGTGGTTTCAGGTGTGTTTACACATCGTGCCAAATCAATTAAGGAAAATCTCATCGAATATTCGTATCCTGGGTCCTGGAGACTTTTGTTCGAGTTGCACGAGGAAACTGTTTTCACCGGATACGTGGGGACGGAAGGCCAAATTAAACTGGAGAAAAAAATCTCCCTTTTCAAAAACAAAAAANTTGTTAAGTTGCTGTGGTTTCAGGTGTGTTTACACATCGTGCCAAATCAATTAAGGAAAATCTCATCGAATATTCGTATCCTGGGTCCTGGAGACTTTTGTTCGAGTTGCACGAGGAAACTGTTTTCACCGGATACGTGGGGACGGAAGGCCAAATTAAACTGGAGAAAAAAATCTCCCTTTTCAAAAACAAAAAAGGAATACGTGTAGACCGGGCCTAAGATCCGACGACGGCGCGACGGCGGCGAAAACGTTCCGTAAAAGTGAATTTGTGTTCTTTCAATCTTCATTCGCGATTATTCCAATTCCTTAACTTTGTCGAATATTAGCAAAACCATCTCTAAAAATAATATCGATTCATTTAGAAAGAGAAAGAAATTTTAGTTGTCGCTGGTTGACGTCCTACGCAAAACGTGAAATTACGCAATTTCACGTCGTAGTCATCCAGTGACGGCATTGAAATGTACAAAAAAGTGTTTTGCTGTGGCCCAGTCCACACATATGCGAGATTTTTTTCTCCGTTTCGGCTTACCTTCCACACGTCAACAGCATTTTTGGGCTTTCTTACATCATATTCTACTAACATTACGCATGCTCGGTAAAGGATGCTATCGTATTACCATCGTTTTAGCATTTTCATGTGGACGGGCGAAACGATACAAATGCGAAAAATGTGGACTCGCATAATTTTTTGAAAACAGAGAAAGAAAATCTTTATTTTTATAAGCATCCGGATAAGTGTTGACAGGGCCTAGAGCCTATTCTCTCCGTAGACGTTCTCGTTGCCGTCATTGAATGTTAGGTTTCCTCAGTTATATTGTTATAAGAGAAAATGAGGCTATTTTTGACACACTGTTCATTATTGCATCTATTCTCCTTAGTCGTAAGCTTTAGCTATCTACAATCTTTGCTCAAATCCTGGGAAAGCATACTGTTGCAAACTGCCTTTCCCTCTCTACAATTTTGGTTAGTTACAATATAACAAAATACAATACACACTTTATTCGTCCTAAAAGGCTTCTCAGAATTAAAATTAAAATCAATAATTGATGTTTTAATACAAGCAGAGCCTATGAACAATGAAAGTTAAAAACTAAAACTAGTAAAAACTGTACACACTCATAATTGGATTAAAATGTCCTATTTACGTCTCTAAAAAAATTTTAAACAATGCACTTTATTTGAATGTCAATGTATACGCACCAAAGTACTAATTGATCACACACCTTTTTTGCGTCTCCAACTGGAGACGGGACAGCCATTTAACGTGGTCATCCGAGCCACGCGAAGGTCTAGCCGCTTGCAGTGCAAACTGAGTACCTTCATTTATCACTTATTTTAAGACCCTGAGTATTGGTCCGGTCCCGGGAATCGAACCCGCGACCTCCCGTTCTGCACAGCGCTGTACCGACTGAGTTATAGGCTCCTGGGCCCAGTTGCATGAAACGCCCGTAACATCTACGGGTACGCGTACGTGCACTCGTAACTTAAGTCAGTTGCATTAAATTACTTAAGGGGTCCACTTAGGGAATTCACTTAAGTGGTTTCACTTACGATTTTTGTAAGTGTTCACTTAAATGTCGTTTATGCAACAGAAATTGCGGGTGTTGCATAAAACCTTTTTTACGGGAAAAATAGCACGTAAATTTACGGGACCTATGTAGGTCCCGTATCGTTCCTGTTTTTACTAAACTTAACGAGATCTTTTACTAAGAAGTGAAAAAAAGTATTTTTCTTCACGTTATTCGTTCTAATGGGCTTTGTTAACCTCTGATGTACACTTTAAAGCCGGCGTTGTGAAAAAAGAAGAAGAACAATCATTTTCAGTAAATATTGAAGAAAAATAACGTCTGCATGCAAATTTCATTTTTTTGAGAGGCTTAAAAGTGTTCGAAACGACTAAAAACTTTCTTTACACTCACCGATGGTTAGCTTAAAAAAAAAATGATTGAGTCATTAATGAAGTACTATATCAAAGTTACGTGTGCCTTTAAGTGAGCCCGTAAGTTACCACGTAAAACAGAAACTTACGACAGTGCTAAGTGCGTTCCATGGAACACCCGTAAGTGTACCCATAACGGATTCGTAAGTAACCTACTTAAGTGGGCACTTAAGTGTAGGTTTCATGCAACCGGGCCCTGGCCGCGGTTAAGATTAGATTGCTCTGAATTGGAAGGTTCTTTGTCCTGTGGAGGTTTTGTATATACTTGGAAATATGTAACAGCTGGGAGTTCTGCGTGGTACGCTTAGTGATGCTACAATCAGGGAGAAAACGGGTGCTTTTATTACTGAACAAATTTCATACATATATTATTTCATTCTATTTAAACGCCGTAAATCCCCCCCCCCCCACCCCCACCCCCGAATCAATGTTGTTTGTAGTAAAAGAAAGACTTGTGGGTCTAAAACACAATGGTTTTGGGGGGAGGGGGTGGGGGTACACAAGGGTGGGTGATTGGTATGTCCACTGTCCAAAAAGGGGCCATTTTATAGAAGTGTCTCAACACTTTTGTTCCTCATTCTATCTCTGGATATATTTCGAAAATAACGAATCAGGTGCACACCCTGTCATACACTTAAAACCATTATTGCCTGTCATACACTTAAAAGCCATTACTGCCAGACGGTAGAAGAGCTACTGTCTTACTGGTACTATAGGGGAAATATCATCATCTATTTCCTAGTGTTGCTGACGATATAGGCCGCTCGCACTCTAGGGTGTTGCCCCAAGTGTTGCTCCAGACATTACAAAAGTAATAGACTCATATAGTCAAATTAGTTTAACTTTTTAAACCAATTACACATCCAAAATAGATCCTAGAGGGGGAGCGTGGACCAAAATTAAATTATCACCCGTCCCAATGTTAAATGTTATAAACGTTGAAACTTTTCGAGTGTGTCTGCGAATGACAAAAAATATGCGAATGTACGTGAAGATCATGAGTATTATAGGAATCCCAAATCCAACAATAGCTAAGAAAATATACAGGGAACAATTCGCAGTCCAAACAGGAGAGCAATGCAAAGTTCCTTCGTCATACTGGTATCTGGACCATCCAAAGAGCGGTAAAGAGGCGTAAAGCAACCCTTGTCCCCAGACCACAATCAAGGAGTAGCAGGCCCGTTTGACCGTGACAATGGTCTTGTAACGTGTGGGTCTGGTGACTGCGATATATCGGTCCAAGCTGATGCAACACAATGTCATCACTATAGCAACACTCGATACAACGCTGATGAAACCGTTGCTCTGGAAACAAAAATAGAAAACAAAAAATTAAGTCCAGGCGCAAAGGCATCCTTCTTCGATCGTTTGCCCAGGTTCCTCTTATTAGTTGTTCTAAAACGAAGTATTTTAGTAGCAGCACTGAATACCCGTTTTTATAGACCTCAGATGACGTTGACCCGTCATTGACATTTTTTTCATTAATACATTTCTTCGCGTACGAAGCGGACGTGGAGCGCGAAACACGCGCGACGGGGGAAGGCAGGGAAAATATAGTCAGTCGCGTGTGCCTCGCGCTCCACGTCCGCTTCGTGATGGGCTGAATAACGCCAAAAAACACACAAATATAAAACTTCGACAAACGAAGCGAGTCGAGGACCCCGCTTGGTTCGCCTCATTCTACACGCTTTCCCTGTTATTCGCCCCTAAGCCTCACTTTAGACTACGAGTAGTCCCACGCCTTTCTCGCGAAGGATGATTTTCAAGCACTCTTGTTTCGCTCGCTCTACTATCCCTGGAAAAATGTAGCCTGCGAACAGCAGACGTATTTCCGGTCGTCGCCTCTCTCCCTCCGAAAAATAGCTATTTTCGGAGGGAGAGAAGTGACGACCGGAAATGCGCCTGCTGTTCGCAGGCTAGGAAAAATGGGGGCTACTCGTAGTCTAGCCTCACTTGGGAGTGGACCAGGCCAGCTCGCAATGCGCGTGTGTGGAATCTCTTAGAAAAACAAAATACTGTTTCCGATTTCCAAGTGCAATTGCTGTTTCTATACATTTCCTGTAACTTTCATTACCTTAATCAAGGTCCTTGTAATTTTTAGTATTGAATCGTGAAGTTAGAATCAATGAAAAGCGAAAAGAAGGCATTATTTCGGTTCCCAAGTCATTATTTGCTTTTCATCCTGAGAACTAAAATTAAGTTTAGTTTAGGGGCTGTTGCTACAAATACCAAACTGTTTCATTGCATACTGACACTCGCATGAGGCATTTTTCACTTTGATCGCCGCGACGCACGCCCAAAAAGGGCATCTCAAACTGTTCATAAACAACAGCAACTCACAACTGCTCAAGAAGCTATAACCAGCATCAACGACAACAACAAAAACGTGTGCTGAGTAAGACAAAGTCGCGGTTACATCTTCCTCAAATCACCGAGAAGTGAAGTGTCAAGGTTAAGGTGCCCAGGAACTGCCAATATAATCAGCATAGATGCTTGTGTTTATCGCTTTGACTATAGAACAATAAGCGAAGGACAGACTTACGGAAAACAGAGCAAGCCTCGGAGAAAGGAAAAAAAGGAATTTTGCACGCATTACAAGCCATAAGCAAATCAAGGACTGCTTAACACATCCAAGATACAGCCAAGATAGTACACGCAAGTAACAAGCGACTAAAATTCTCAGTCATAGAAGATGATTAAATAACGTACTTAGTTACCTGGCAAAGAATGTGAGTATAGCCTCCATGCTGGTCTTGAATAACAGTAGCAAGGCTAAACGGGATTACACAAGCTGTTAACAACAAATTCGCGATGCACAAGTTTGCTACAAACGTGTTCGTTGGCTTGTTTCTCAACTGTCTTGTCCGCCAAATGATACCACAAACTGAGAGATTTAGCAGTAGCGAGAGAAGAAGAACCAGAGTCAATCCGGAACCTTCGAGTAGACGAACTTGCGCTCCAAGGCCCATAGTTGTATTGTTGGGCATTGTTAGCTTTTTGCCAGAGTAGTTGTACGTACAGTGTGGTTGTAGTATTGAGCAATCCAAATGACGTTTGTATCACAGTAAACACAATCTGACCTGACCAGTGTTTAAGTGTAGATCAAATGTCAACAGTTATAGATTAAAGATTGGCGAAAAGTTATTCATTCACCAGGTTGTTTAGCCTCTTTTCTGTAAATCTCTCCGCTATAAAAAAGAAGCTTTTGAAGGACAAAAATTTACCACAATCTTTTGTTCTGTCTATTATTTACTTAAACCAAGACATAAACGGGTTTGTAACAAGGCTATATTTACTTTGCGACATCTGGGAATCGCTCTTTTTTGATTTGATGGACAATTATGTTCACTTTGTTGCTGGGTGCCAAAGTATTAATTGTAGAACGTGTCATTTCAAAATTAAAGTTGGTTAGATTTGATACTCCTGTAGAAACAAAATATTTTGAAGAATAACAAANAAGGCTAAACGGGATTACACAAGCTGTTAACAACAAATTCGCGATGCACAAGTTTGCTACAAACGTGTTCGTTGGCTTGTTTCTCAACTGTCTTGTCCGCCAAATGATACCACAAACTGAGAGATTTAGCAGTAGCGAGAGAAGAAGAACCAGAGTCAATCCGGAACCTTCGAGTAGACGAACTTGCGCTCCAAGGCCCATAGTTGTATTGTTGGGCATTGTTAGCTTTTTGCCAGAGTAGTTGTACGTACAGTGTGGTTGTAGTATTGAGCAATCCAAATGACGTTTGTATCACAGTAAACACAATCTGACCTGACCAGTGTTTAAGTGTAGATCAAATGTCAACAGTTATAGATTAAAGATTGGCGAAAAGTTATTCATTCACCAGGTTGTTTAGCCTCTTTTCTGTAAATCTCTCCGCTATAAAAAAGAAGCTTTTGAAGGACAAAAATTTACCACAATCTTTTGTTCTGTCTATTATTTACTTAAACCAAGACATAAACGGGTTTGTAACAAGGCTATATTTACTTTGCGACATCTGGGAATCGCTCTTTTTTGATTTGATGGACAATTATGTTCACTTTGTTGCTGGGTGCCAAAGTATTAATTGTAGAACGTGTCATTTCAAAATTAAAGTTGGTTAGATTTGATACTCCTGTAGAAACAAAATATTTTGAAGAATAACAAAGCTATAGGTGTCCTATAGCAAGCGCGATTTTTCTAGTAAACAATCTTGTTTGCTTGCCGGTGAACAAAAATAAAAAACCGGAGGCAAAGTTTGAAAAACAAAATTTTGAATTTCTAAAAAACATCATTTTGACACAACACCGGTAATTCACGAAGTTACATTTCCGTTTAGATTCTATTTCATGAAATTCTCTCATTTTAGGAATATTTTGATTGGTTCGGCTGTTGCAGACCTCATTAAGTTGTTTATAAATTGACGGTAAGATATTAACGTTAACTGAATGCCAAAATGCGCGGGGAGTCTGGCTTAAGTGCAAATGCATTTGGCCGTGCTTAAATAATATATTCAACTTTTTTCTCGTTTTGAAATGTCTAAATTAATGACGAACAGTCGAACTTTTCTTCACCTTAACAAATTCACAGAGACATGTGATACAGTCCAACGTTTTGAAGCCGATAACACGTTAATTCATTCGGCCATTATCATCGCGTGGCACTTTTATTATTTATTTAGTGGTGATTTTTTGCTCGAACGCCTTTTTCCACAACTTCACTTTGGACACGACAAAATATAGTTTTGGATTTTTTCTTTAAATTTTGAACTCTTCAAAAAGCCTCTGAATAAATAGAATTTATATTAAGCAAAAGCAAATGTCAATGATTAAACAGGCTCAAACTTAAAATCACAAAATTGTACAATTGCAATGTTTTTTTCTTGTCGAGAATCAAATTTAAAAATAAACTCAGCTTAGCAATCACTTGTTTATAAACTATATATTCCGGAAAGAGAAATATATTACTTTTAATCACTTAACAGACTCGGAGATATTGCCGGACATGTAATCAAAATCGCTAGGGACATTTAAAATGTTGATAGACAAGGGTCTGTTAAGAATACCGTGTTCTCAACAGAGCATAATTCCATTCTCCGAAAATAATTCATCTAAAACCAAAAATGTCTAAACTAGGATCGGATCCAAAAGCTAAAACAAATAAATTTTACTTGCGTTTCAAACCTCTTTTGTCAAGGTTTTCCCTCTGGCTTACGGTGCAACTACTCGAACTGGGGCACTTAAAAAAAGATTATCCAAGCACAACAGTTTTTGAAAACCAAAAGATTCTCAACTGTTCTTGCAAACGGGGACCAATAACTTTGACGAATTTAAGGACTGTTACCTGAGAGGTTAGGTAACTTCAAGCGGTTTTAAAGTTTTCAACAGTTGCATAGATGAACCTTGAATTTTATTGGTCCGTTTGAGTAGCTTTTGTTTTCAAAAACATTGTGATTGGATGATCTCCTTCCAAGTGCGATACGATGGACTAGCATCCCGTCCAGGGGGGAGTAGCAATACTCCTAGGCATGCTTCATACTACGGAAACCGGAAATAAGCTCCGGCGGCGTGGGCCTTTGGCTCGTGAGCGCCTTTACCTTTACCTTAACGTGCAAGTACTCGGTCTCGAACCGGGGTACTTGGAAGAAAATCATCCAATCACAACACTTTTTGACTAAACAAATAAATAAACTTGAGTATCTTTTGTTTTCAAAAAACATTGTGATTGGATAATCCCCTTCCAAGTGCCTCCCCCCCCCCCCCCCC